GGAAAACATATTTATAAACTTGGTTTAGGAAAATGGAGCAAACACATGTTGCCTTTTGTGGTAAGGGCAGGATGATTAAGAGGGCAAAACCAAGGGTTCAGAGAGGGAAGCCAAGAACCCCAGAGAAGTATTCCCAGGTCTTGAGACCTAATCAAGGAACTTGCAACATTTGCCTGACTGGCTTTCAGAATTGCCTTGGACCACTGACCGCTTTGCACCTCCTGTTTCCCCCTTTTTGAACAAGAATATCTGGAGCAGTTATCCTGGGTCTGCTTTACCATCGTGTTTTGAGTGTGAAGGGGCAGATAACCCCTCTTTAGTTTCACAGATCAGAGGAACGGCACTTACGGAGCTAAACTTACTAACCTGAGGAGCCTCTCCTACCCAGACCTGACTCAGATGGTGAGATTGTGGACTTGAAGCTAGTGCAGTAATGGGATGAGACACTGGGGGCCACTGAGGAGTAGGATGAATGTGTTCTACATGTGGGAGGAATATAAAAAAATTTGTGGCCAGAGGGCAGACTGTAGTGATTTCAAAGCTATGCCTATAGATTCTTCTTCTTTAGAGGTGAAGCTTAATTCCTCCCCTCTTGAGTGTGGGATGAATTTAATGACTCAATTCTAATGAATACAATATGGCAGAAGTCATGATATATCATATCCAAGATCAGGTTATAAAGAGGTGAGTGTTCACTCTCACTCTCTCTCTCTTTCTCTCTCCCCCTGGCTTTCTCTCTATCATCAGTCACTCTAGGAAAGCCAGCTGCCATGACGTAAGGATACTCAGGCCACCAATGGACAGCCCAGGGAGGAGGCATGAAGGTGTGCCAGCCATTGTGTCAGTCACCTTATAAGCAGATTTTCTGAGACCTGCTAACGGCCATGTGAGTGACCTTGGATGTGGGTTGTCACCAGTCAAGCCTTGAGATGACTGCAGCCATGACCCACAGCTTGATTACAACCCATGGGAGACACTGAGCTAGGAAAACCCAGCTGAAATGCCTCCAGACCCCTGACCCACAGCGACTGTGAGATAATCAGTGTTTGTTGCCTTGATCCACGAAGTTGGTGATAATTTGTTTCTCGACAACAGATAACTAATACAGACCCGGAAGCGGATCGCCTCAGTGAAGGTCACATTGCAGCACTATTGATTTCTAAAGACTCATGTTACGTGACGAAGCAGCTCAGAAGAGGAAAGAAAAGGAGCCAGGCATGGCTCTTCCTCAGGGACACTTGACTTTTAGGGATGTGGCTATAGAATTCTCTTTGGAGGAGTGGAAATGCCTGGACCCTGCGCAGAGGGCTTTATACAGGGCCGTGATGTTGGAGAACTATAGGAACCTGCATTCTGTGGATATCTCTTCCAAATGCATGATGAAGAAGTTCTCGTCAACAGGGCAAGGCAATACAGAAGTGTTCCACATGGGGACATTGGAAAGACATGAAAGTCATCACATTGGAGATTTTTGCTTCCAGGAAATTGGGAAAGATATTCATGACTTTGAGTTTCAGTGGCAAGAAGATGAAAGAAATAGCACAGACAGATGTGATCGAAGGCACGCTGGAAACAAGCCTATTAAAGATCAGCTTGGATTAAGCTTTCGTTCACATCCTCCTAAACTCCACATATTTCAGACCAAAGGGAAAGTTGGTAATCAAGTTGAGAAGTCTATCAACGATACTTCCTCGGTTCCAACGTCCCAAAGAATTTCTTCTAGGCCCAAAATCCATATTTCTAATAACTATGAAAATAATTTCCTCCATTCGTCAGTACTCACACAAAAACAGGGAGTACACATGAGAGAAAAATGTTTCCAATATAATGAGAGTGTCAAAGCCTTTAATTGTAGCTCACTCGTAAGGAAACAGCAGATAATCCATTTAGGAGGGAAACAATATAAATGTGATGTATGTGGCAAGGTCTTTAATCAGAAGTGATACCTTGCATGCCATCATAGATGTCACACTGGCAAAAAACCTTACAAGTGGTAAGGTTTTTAATCAACAGTCAAACCTTACAAGTCATCATAGACTTCATACTGGAGAGAAACCTTACAAATGTGAAGAATGTGACAAAATTTTTAGTCACAAATCAAATCTTAAAAGACATAGGAGAATTCATACTGGAGAGAAACCATACAAATGTAGGACTTGTGACCATGCTTTCAGGCGTGATTCACACCTGGTACAACATACTAGAATTCACACTGGAGAGAAACCTTACAAGTGTAATGAATGTGGCAAAGCCTTTAGTGGGCAGTCAACACTTATTCACCATCAAGCAATCCATGGTGTAGGGAAACTTTATAAATGTAATGACTGTCACAAAGTCTTCAGTAATGCTACAACCATTGCAAATCATTGGAGAATCCATAATGAAGAGAGATCTTACAAGTGTAATAAATGTGGCAGATTTTTTAGACGTTGTTCATATCTTGCAGTTCATTAGCGAACTCATACTGGAGAGAAAACTTACAAGTGTCATGAGTGTGGCAAGACCTTCACTCAGACATCATCCCTTGTATGCCATCGTAGACTTCATATTGGAGAGAAACCTTACAAGTGTAATGAGTGTGGTAAGACCTTCTGTCACAATTCAGCCCTTGTAATTCATAAAGCAATTCATACCAGAGAGAAACCTTACAAGTGTAATGAATGTGGCAAGGTTTTTAATCAACAGGCAACCCTTGCACATCATCATAGACTTCATACTGGAGAGAAACCTTATAAATGTGAAGAATGTGACAAAGTTTTCGGTCGCAAATCACACCTTGAAACACATAAGAGAATTCATACTGGAGAGAAACCTTACAAGTGTAATGAGTGTGGCAAAGCCTTTAGTGGGCAGTCAACACCATCAAGCAATCCGTGGTATAGGGAAACTTTACAAATGTAATGATTGTCACAAAGTCTTCAGTAACACTACAACCATTGCAAATAATTGTAAAATTCATAATGAAGAGAGATCTTACAAGTGTAATAAATGTGGCAGATTTGTCAGACATCATTCAAATCTTGCAGTTCATCAGCAAACTTATACTGGAGAGAAACCTTACCAGTGTAATGAGTGTGGCAAGACCTTCAGTCAGACATCATCCCTTGTATGCCATCGTAGACTTCATACTGGAGAGAAACCTTACAAATGTGAAGAATGTGACAAAGTTTTCAGTCACAAATCACACCTGGAAACACATAAGAGGATTCATACTGGAGAGAAACCTTACAAATGTGAAGAATGTGACAAAGTTTTCAGTCGCAAATCAAACCTTGAAAAACATAGGAGAATTCGTTTTGGAGACAAACCATACAAATGTAAGGTTTGTGACAAGGCTTTCAGGCATGATTCACACCTGGCACAACATACTAGAATTCACACTGGAGAGAAACCTTACAAGTGTAATGAGTGTGGCAAAGCCTTTAGTGGGCAGTCAACACTTATTCACCATCAAGCAATCCCTGGTATAGGGAAACTTTACTAATGTAATGATTGTCACAAAGTCTTCAGTAACACTACAACCATTGCAAATCACTGGAGAATCCATAATGGAGAGAGATCTTACAAGTGTAATAAATGTGGCAGATTTTTCAGACATCGTTCAAATCTTGCAGTTCATCAGTGAACTCATACTGGACAGAAACCTTACAAATGTGATGATTGTGGCGAGGTCTTCAGTCAAGCTTCATCTTATGCTAAACATAGGAGAATTCATACAGGAGAAAAACCTCACAAGTGTGATAATTGTGGCAAAGCCTTTAATTCACATTCACACCTCATTAGACATCAGAGAATCCATATTGGACAGAAATCTTACAAATGTCATAGCAAGGTCTTCAGTCAGAAGTCACTCCTTGCGGAACAGCAGAAAATTCATTTTTGAGATACTTATTCCAAATGCAATGAGTATAGCAAACCATCAAGCATTAATTGACATTAGAGTCAATTCAGCATTGACTTGAGTTTGAGTTGACTTGACATTGAGTTCAAGCATTAATTGACATTAAAGTGTTTATGTTAAGAGGATTGGGCTGGGCAGGGTGGCTCATGCTTGTAATCCCGGCACTTTGGGAGGTCAAGACGGATAGATCACTTAAGGTCAGGAGTTTGAGACCAGCCTGGCCAACAGACATGAGCCACTTTTCCCAGCCTGTTTTTTGTTTCTTTATCAAAAACTGATAGGGATTTTTATGGGTATTGTGTTGAATCTAAATCACATTGGGTTATATAATCATTTAACAATATTAATTTTTCCAATCCATCAATAGGGGTTGTATCTCTATTTTATATATGTTTTTAATAATTTTGATCAATGTTTGTAGATTTTAAGGTACAAACTTATCGCCTTTTTACGTTTATTCCTAAGTATTTCTTACTGTAAGTTCTCTAGCAAATGGAAGTGTTTTCTTAATTTTCTTTTAAAATTGTTTAATGTATGGAAATTTAACTAATTTCTGGTGCTGATACTGTATTCTGCAAATACACCGAATGTGTTTATTAGTTCCAGCAGTATTTTGGTTGACTTTTGTGATTTTCTACACAGCAGAACATACAATCTACAAACACAATTTTAGTTATTTCTTTCTGAAAAAAAAACTAATACAGATGTCTATCCCGAAACTTGCCATTTTTTGATCCTTATGTTTTGGGATCCTTCTCACTACCACTGACCAACTTTTCATATCCTGAAGATATGAAGCAATGAAAATAAGAGAATTCAAGACAGGTTAAAAAAAAATATGCCGGGCGCGGTGGCTCACGCCTATAATCCCAGCACTTTGGGAGGCTGAGGTGGGCGGATCATGAGGTCAAGAGATCGAGACCATCCTGGCTAACATGGTGAAACCCTGTCTCTACTAAAAATACAAAAAATTAGCTGGGTGTGGTGGCGGGCGCCTGTAGTCCCAGCTATTCGGGATGCTGAGGCAGGAGAATGGC